AGTAGAAATGAATTTTTTCTGCTTTTTTTTTCAATTATAAGTTTCAATAATTCTATAAAGGTGTTTGGACAGATATTTAAAATTAAAATGCCATGTTATTTTTAAATGAAATCTTTCATTTTCAACTTAAAACAGTCATACACACAAGTTAACTTATAGTAAAAAACCAGTTTTCTGTAGCAGTCTACAATCAAAATGGAGTATTCCCAAACTACAAAAGCAAAGCGTTTAAATGGAAAACATCCATCTTTAAACCATTTTCATTATTCATGGCCAAATTTTCAAGACTTACACCATAAGGAATTTTATTAGAAAGGTAAAAAGAAGAGACAATGAATAATTTCTTATATTAATAAAATAGATTTTTTATTAGCATCACATTTTAATCTAGTGCTGATTTGAATGGTAATTAATAAGTCTTTGTACTCAGTACATTAAGCAAAAACATTCCAAGTACATTTTCTTTTCTTTGTTGTGTACATAAATCACAAAGACATCACATTTATCCCAGATTGAATGAATTTGCAAAGACAGAAAGAATAAATACATCAGAAAGGTTTTGCATAGGAGTGCATATAAATTGCACTGGGGCTATAACTCAGACCTTTAAATATATGCTTTTATGTATTCAGTGTGAACTTGCAAAAGTATGTACTGAAGATGAAAACGTGATCCTCATAAATACATCTTGGGTACTGAAGGGTCAAAACATAAATTCTTCCACTGAGGCAGGAACTGTAAACTTCACTAATGCACAATGTTATTTTTTAACACACATATATATATGTTATTTTTTAAAATCCCTTTTAGCTGTCAGTAGTTGTAGTCATAACATGCATGCGCGAATTGGAGCAATGATGCCAGGATAACTCTCTCTAGGTGCAGTTATAATCTTTAGAAAAAGAACATTCACCATGCCAGACCATCCTTAGGCTTAAAGGTCTCATTTGTCATTGATCAATTGATCCTAGTACTGTGGAGAATACTTTTTCAATGCACAGTTTGTACTAAATCTTTTGGTCTTTGAATATTTAGTATATTAAGTTTCATCTCAGTCATCACATAATTTCACTGTTTAACTATTCCTTGAAACTATTAATCACTACAACCAGTATGGTTCTAGATATTGTGCCAGCATATGTTTAGAATTTCCAGTATGTATGCTATCAAGTTAATATTTTAATTTTCCATTATGAATTTTTTTTCCTTTTTCTCAGAACTATCATTCAGATTTAATGAAAGCTAGTGTAGGTCAGCTGATTTAAAATAAATGTCAAAATCACAAGTAACTGTTAGAACAAATGGTCCATGTGAACTAAAGTACTGCAATTTATCCTATAGTTCATCTTCATATTGAAACATATTGGCATATGAAAATTATAAAGTTGAGTCTAGTGACCTAATATATATAATCCTCTTTGTGGGATGCTTCTGACAGGACATGCAGAAGAGCAAAAAGACTAGGAAAAAACCTTGCATTGCTTTAATTGAGATTGATTGAATTTCTAAGGAAATCCAAAAGATATATTTAGTGAGAAATCATTACACTGTCCTCTCATACTCATACCCACCTTTCAGATTTCCTTCTTTTCTTTCACATTTCCTCCACTTTACTGCCATTTCTTATATACATTAGCCCTGAAATATGCTTCTGCAGCCCTATAGTATTACCTGTTTAATCAAACAGTAAATGAATACAGAAAATTTTTCAATGCCTATAAATCCCAGGTTTTTCATTTGGATTTATCAACTTAAACTATCATCTGCTCTCTTGAGAGGATTTAGCCGAAGACCTATTGGAGAATTTTTGTATGTGACAGGTTTGTATCTCTTTATTAAATGGTTTGTAACAATATTTGATTTTTTAACTTGCCTGTATCTTAGCCATGGAAAGTTTTCTCTTTCAATTTAGTTCTTTTGTCAATAATCTGTATTTCTGGCTTGCCTTCCCCTCCCTCTTACTGTTCAGATTAACAATACAGTCTGATGAGAGTGTGACTTGCAGGTCTTCATTAACAAAAAGTGTGTATAAAAAGAGTACAATTTTTCCATTCCTATCCTATGCCCTACAGACTGATTCAGTTTGCTACTTTAATTAGTCAGAAATCAGGTCTACTTTTAAATATTACAGGGCTAATGTTTTTTTCTCCATACTAAGATGCACGGCACAAAGCAGTAATCTGGGATTTCTAAAACTGAGGTACTTAGTGGGGATGATGCTGCTCAGTGCTCTACTCTCTATGAAATAACATTACTCTGAGTAGCTGCTACCTTTTCAATTTTGTAAGTTTTCAGTCTCCCACAATGCTTCAAGAATGGATAAAAGCTTTCATTCATGCCATTTATCTGCTGAGGTATGAGACTCCCAGAAAGAGCATGACTAGCCTGCATGGCATCAATGAATGTGAACTATTAAATGGCTTATCTAGGACCTTTCACAGCACAACAGATTAGAGAAAGACCACATACACAGGCACTTCCATTAACTACTGTCATCTAGCTACAATATTCCCTAGGAACTTAATACTGTTTAATTTTTTGTCATGCCACTTCTTCCCTTCTGTTTAAACACCTGATAACATCAGACATATAATGGTAAGTAGTTCAAATTTTGCTGATGTTGGAGGACTTTTAAATCACGAATTTCAGTTTTTAGCAGATTGAAGGACAAGAGAGGGTATATCCTCAAATAGTCACTAGGTTCTCTGTAATTCCTTATGTATTGGTCTACTATGATGATATATTTGGATCCCTGCTTAACTAATAAATAGCAATGTTGCATCTCTAAATTTAGTCTTTTATTTATAATCTTGACAGCACAGGTACAGGGTAGATTTTAATACTGGCTTTAAACCATCTTTATTAATCCCCTTCATCTCAGGCTTCACCAGGTTGTAGCTATAGGAGTCTGATTAAATTGGACTCACTGCAGCCAATATCACCCTCACAAAAAGCCAGTTCAATTTTTCTGACACCATTCCCTAGTATCCGCATTGCTCACCAGGTGTTCTGGCATGCATGCTGGGACAGGACTCCCTGGCTGCCACTCAGGATTATGACACCTGATAAACCTGTATTGTTCTACATCACATAGTGTTTGTAAGTTTGTAAGCACTAGTGGAAAAGCCGGCACAGCTATGCTTATAAAGATAATTTCATTTAAGGAGCAAAATAGCTGAGCTACACTGTATGGTAATGCACATTCCAGAGCAAGGTGTTCTGGAATAAAGTCTTGGAGCAATACACTACAGAACTTCTGCAACGATGGGTTGCAGAAACATAGCTGTCCGCATGTAAACAAACATAAAATATTTTGAGCGCATAGCAAATAATATAATAACATTCAAAAGATTTTAATCTAGATCTCTGACACACAGGCCCTCTGATTTTTTTTTAATTTTTGTTTGAATCAAATCGTGTCTACCTTCTGTTTTGCTAGTAAATTTTTGTCCTTATTCTGTTTAGCATAGTTACTTTCACATTTACTCCTAGCTGAGCTGAATGTTTTTACATGTGTAATATTTTTTTTCTTAAATTGTAATTCTAGAAGAACATTAATAAATTTTTCCCAACACCATCCATATTTCTTGAATTGAAACTATTTCTGAAGGGGTTATGACTCCTCATTATCTAAGGTCTATAATACTATATATAAGGTCTATAATACTGGACTTTTCAAGCAGCACTGTGTGTATGTATGTCTAAATACCTCATTCCTTTTTTATATAAATTACAGAGCAAAGGTAATAAATTGACTATGAGTCAATCCCTCTAGAGGATTTTATCCAGACACTTTAGTTTTTTTCCTAGCCTGCTATTCTTCACTTCTCTACAGCAGGGGGGTCAGTATTGCTTCTGCACTGCTTTGTTGCCATATACCACCAATTTTATCATAAAATAATACTTGTCTCTGGTAGAAAAAAGGCATTACATGCCATAGCTCTCCAGATTATTGACATGTACTACCAACATTGTGGTATAATGGTGTCAAGTTGACTTTGCTGATTTTCTGTACCCTATAAAAACCATTAGCAAGTATTTGAAGAACTCACCTTTTCCTAAGCTTCAAACTTTACCTTCAAAGCTTAAAGCCATTTTGATTTCTTACCTGTTTTGTAAAAGTTCCTAGTCTGCTCCTGAAATAATGACTCATCTTACTTTGGCTCTTATTTACTCTTTCCATAGATAAAACACAAATTCTGAGTAGCTGGATGCTCATCTGTTTGGGTCAATGGAAGACATGGGGTTTTCTGAAAATGAAAGTGTAAATATTGCAGAACTCAGTAGAGATTCATGAATGCTACTGATATCTACAGTTTCATACTGACTCATATAACTTCTATATTTTTTAATTGTATTCAATGTTCAAAAACAAATGGGAATAGTTTGATGACCTTCCTAATAAGACTTTAACCCGAAATCTTTTCTCCTCTTAATTTAGGTCAAAGAAGCTCTTTATTTTGTGTATGACTCTGTAACCTTATTTAATTATTCTCTGGATGTAGCTATTGTTAAGCCCCTAAAATTTAGCACAGTTCAGCACATATTTCAGCTGCTTACACTGGGGAATGTGTTGTAATATCACTTCACACTTATTAAAACACAAATTATTCCAGAGCAAGGATATGCTGCTGCCACAAATGAATAAATTTTAATCATAAAATGTACAAGTGAAAATTCTACCTATTCAAGAATATTGTCAAAATGTTTCTGTATGATAATGTTTGTAACTGAATAAACATGTTGGGTGAAGTAATTGCATGTACTGCAATAATGACTACTAATGGAAAACAACTACACACAGATGCAAAACAATAAATGTTGACAGCTTTTTTATTTCTAAAAAAAAACCTGCTTGTATATCTTTCTGATACTTCTAATAAAATATTTCTAAAATTTTAATATATTTCTAAACAATCATGACTGCTTCAAAACACTTTTTAAAAATATGTCTCAATGCTGAAAGAAATTTAATTCCCTTTTTTTCCTCCCTCTTCTAGATATTTTTAAATGCAGATACAATCCGCCTGGGAAATCTACCAGTGGGTTCCTTTTCCTCCTCCTCGTCCTCTTCTTCTTCCTTCTCCTCCTCCTCCTCCTCACCCAGCTCTTCAGCTCCTCGCCAGACTATCTATGAGCTCTGCGTCTGTCCCAATGGTAAACTTTACCTGTCTCCAGCAGGAGCAGGCTCCACATGCCAATCCACTAGCAACATCTGCTTGTGGAGCTAGGATGACTCCATTTTATCCTCACACCAGAATAGCCTTTTGTTACTATCCCTCTGCTTCACAGTTCTGCTCGGTTTCCCTTGTGACAAGTTCAACGCTTCAAACGGCCTGCAGAGCAACTTCTTCCAGTGTAAGCAGGAATACAGCGCTGCCTTCTCTTGTGGTGTGTGGTGCCACTCAACATAGAGATGGGAGTGAGATACTCAGAAATAAATGTGTTCTTCATCAGGAAACCTAGAACATAAAATCACCTTTTTTTCCAAAAGGGACAATAACACAGGTGCCTTTGCTACTTGAAGTGAAGCACATAGTTTTAGATTTTTGCAGGACCTGGATATGAACTGCACATAAATATATATATAGAGAGAGTACATAAATTTGCCCAGAATCTGATGGTGAGATGAATTGGTTCCCCCTGTATGATAAATAACTTTACTGTCTAAAAGCACAATTTTCCATTCATCTTTTTGGATGTAAACTTTTATCCCTGAATTTTAAAATTTTGAAGGATTGTGTGATGCTTGCTTTATTACACAAATTCAGTAAATGGTTTTTAATACAAAAAGAGACAGAATCCCTCCCTGAGTTTGGTTTCTTTAAATATGTGTTGTTATTCTTCGTCTACCAAGTCTAGGGTTTTATACACTAGGTGAATTTTGGAAGTGCTCAGCAATATTACTTTTCAAAGTTAAAAAGACATATGCTCTTGTTTGTCAGATCTGAATGACCTTATATAATATTTTCATGGCTACTGTATGTGAAGTGATTGCTTTAAGTAGAACATACAACTTCTGGAAAAGAAGAACAGGGTAAAGAAGGAAATTCTGATCATATGTTTGTTGATCAGTGTATTGCTCTACACAAGGTACTTGTAATTGGCAAATATAAAACCAAAAGAGAAATCTTCAAAGGTTCATCTTACCCATTTTCTGGCTATGTCTAACTGCTGCCATTTGAACACAGTAAAAATGTTGGTACTAATGTAACATGTGATGCTGAGAAGCAGTGCACTAACAACTTGTATGACATTCACATTTATTATTCTCTTTTGTTTATCATCTGCTGCTAAGGTTTCAAAGTAATAGTAGCATATATAAAACCACATATTAAATAGTATTCAGTGTTAAAAAGTATGTTGATATTACATTGACTTTATCAGGTCTGTGTTTAAATTATTCAGCCACATTTGCACTCAGATCTCATTACTGACTTTCTTTTTGACGAATCTCATGATGGATTTCTTTCTTGTATCAATGTTCGTACTTGTTTGGCATGGTTGGTAACTGAAATATTATGAAAAATGCTTTGGTATACTGCTGGTAAATTTGTCACAACAGTGGTTAACAAGAGTATCTTGAAACTTGCAGAACCCAGGAATGTTAAACAGTATAAAATTGCTTCCTGTTGTGGAAGATGGCTTGATTACATGAGGTAAGTGAGCTTTTTTATTCTATGCTTTAAATTACATCATCTAGCTTGTAGTTTCAGAGGATTCTGAATGTAAGATCATAAATGCCAGCTTTTGCAAAGTAATTCTAAAGTCAAGGCAGACAGTGCAAGGTGGGTATTTGTACGCAATTTTTTTTCTTAGAGAAAAAAGTGAAAATGAGCAAACTAATACTATGATTGCCTTTGCATTTTATTACCACCTAATTAGATTGATTTTCTTTTCACTTCAGATGAAATTCACTCCTATGCAGAAGACCAGCATAAGACGTGTCAATGGCTTGACCAGTGCTTGCCTTACCTTTGGCCCTCTTCAAAGGTGTGAATTTCACCCCATTGCAAGAATTCTGTATTTGCAGTTTTTACCAGCTAAAAGATTAAGATTTTAAACTGATTATTTTCCCACTTCAAAAGAATATAGATGATTTGTTATTTTTTTGAGATTTCTATTCTTGGAAAGAAAATATATTAGAATATATTGCAAAAATATATTAGAATATGAGGATTTTTAGTAAGAGGGGCAAAAAGAGATATAAATGGCAAAGAAGATGATATTAAAAGATTGGAAAGTGTAGCCATACAATACACCCTTAAAAATGTAGGGATATAGATGTCTTTTTCTTATGAACACAAGTAATAGAATGGTAGTGTAAGAGTCATGGATAAATAGTATTTCATGAAGAAAAGTATATAGACATCTATATGTATTCATTGTCTGTGCACACCTACAAAAACCTGTTGCTGAAAAGATGAACAAACATTGGTGAATTAAAATATGGCTTCTTACAAATTACATATAAAATAGCCTAAGGCTTTTTTTTCCCCCTTAAATAAACCCATGAAATGGCTTGCAGATAGTTTATCATAACTGTCTACTGGAAAATTCTTGTTTGTTTGCTTTTTACCTTATGTAATTACTTACCTGTTATGCGTATAAAAAGGGTTTCTACCTTCTGGATGGAAAGACACAATCTTTATAAATTTTACGCAACTTGGGTGGGAATGGGCAGGTATGAAAAAAAAATCTTTTGTTACTAGATTCATTTTAACAGCAAGACTGGAACTATCGGCCACTTAGTATGAAGAAAACTCAGAGCAGACATGTGGATGGTGCATTAGCCTCCACAAAATGAAGCCAGTAAGTCCACATAACTCTTCACTGTCAGGATATTCTTTATTGAAATCCCTTCAGTCTGAAATAAAGAGTATTTAAGAGCTTCACCAACCTATAAGACAGTTTAGCAATGTCTTAATATTCTGGTGAATTTCATAATATTGATGTTCTACTTTAAATCCATCAAAAACTGTATGAAGGGAAAAAAATCAGTTTTTATTTTTAAAAGTATTTCTAGCCCACATGATTTCAGGGATTATTGGAAAAGCGATTTCAATGAATTTACAGAACTAAAAATTCAGAATGTCATCCTTATGACTGCAGTGAAATATATGAAAAGCCCTTATTGGCTACATTAATTTAATATATATCATAGATTAATCTCCTGTAAAAAAAATCTGTGTCATGATATTATAGGATACTGTCTCTTTCTTGTTTAAAAAAAAAAAAAAAAAAAAAAAAAAAAAAAAAAAAAAAAGAGAAAAATAAAAGCATCAGCCAACCTCTCTGAGCACTGTTATGGTTTTGTATTGCCGTTCATTCATCGTCTAAGTGTTAAGACCAAAGACTGACACTTCTATTATATCTAACACTATGACACTGCTGTTTCTACTAATTCTGTTGGAATGAAGAGATGAGAAGTTGTAATTACAACATGAAATTGTAAAATAGTTTAGATTTGTGCAGCATTTTGAGCTGTAGACTGTCACTTTTTTCTAGGGTTTAAATTTTTTGTCATTGTGTTGCAATTACCTTACTGTTCATTCATAGCAGTATCTTTTGGTGAAAACAAAGGAGTATGTATTCCAAAACTTGCCAAGACATTTTTTTTCTTTCAACTGAAGTTATACTGGTTTGCTTGCAAAACAGTGGCTTGACTGGATAACAGAACTCACTTTAAATCATTTTAGATGCAGAGGGCTATTAAGTCGGGATTGAAGATACAGCCATAGATGTTTAGAAGGATTTAATGAAGGATGTTTAAGACATTTCATTGCTAACATAATGTATTTTTTAGGGTTTTGCTTTGTTTTTATTTTCTAAATAATTGCTAAATAAAAAAAAAATCAAACCCCCAAAAACTAGACTGGAATTGTTATCAGCTGATTGATGTAATGTACATGAAACTTGGATCAAAGTCTGAGTGTCATATTGTTTCTATCAGTACTCAGTAAAGGTCTGCTAACCATCTTTATTTTGTAACCTTCATGTTAATGATTTTCTTGTGTATATAAATATATATAAAAAGATGGAAACTATTTTCTTACACATACTATGCAATATGTTTGTAGAACTGCAATATTACCAAAATTACAAAAGCTGTGCTTTTGTACTCTCTTGCTTTATGTAAAACAGATCTTTTTTCTATTCAATGGACTGTCAATCTCAGAATTGTGGATAACATTATTCAAAAGCAGTACACTAAAATTTTAAGATTTTTTTTTATTTTCTTTTCAGTGGATTTTTTTGTTTTATGAAAATAATAGCAAGGTTTTGGAAGTTGGAAACTACTTTTTCTTGGAAAGCTAGAACTTTTACAGCATGTAATTAACACTGTCGGTTTAAAATGTCTCCTGTACCTCTTTCATTTGGTCTTAGCATTTTCATCTGGTGCTACTATATAACCATAAAAAAATGTAATACATTAAATAGAAAACATATGAGAACTAATTTCAAGAATAAACGAGCAGGAAACCTTCTAAGGGTGAGAGGAAGATATAGAGTAGCTAGTGAGAAACTAGATCTTGTGGTGATGTCACTAATGCAAACAAACCTTCTCTATTTAAACTGGGTAGTGTCAATTCTGGTAACAGCACAGTCATGCACAAGGCTCTGGCAAAAAGCAAGGTGATCATTTGGGTGGTTTCAGTGCACTGAGCTCCTTGGTGCCATATTACAATTTCAGCAAATCCACAAGAGCCAGACAGCAGCTAGCTTCACAAGTCGTAAAAAATAAATGATAATTTTTGTACAAGAGCCACAATTGTATAGAACTATCAGTAGTATAGGTCCTGATAAGTCTCAAGTGACTAAGACACAATAGCTGATACAGCAAGAAAAAATGTTCTTAGACATTTTACTCAGGCTTGGACTAGTCCAATCTGGGGAAGCCTACTGGCAGTAAAAGATAAATGGAAGATATAGTGAAAAAAAATCTGCCATAAACATTTTGTTGATTCAATACAGTCCACACTGAGACTAGAATTTAATACAAGCTCTCTGTGTAAAATAGGGTCTCTTCTGAAACTTTCAACTGAGCTTCAGATTATGTTGTTTGCATTTGAAAGTACAATTTGATCTTTAACCAATATATTTCTTATATAGGCTAAGACCAAGTAAAGTTTCAAAAGAGCTGAGATAGAAGCTTATATTGTATATCTGGCCTGATTAGAGTCAATTAACCCCACTTGAGTTTGGCCTAATTAAATTAAAAAAAAATTTTTTTAAAAAAAGTAAAAAATTATTGAAATTGGAAAGTTTTGCTGAGTTTTGGGAAAAGTTTAGTGCAGTTCACTTTTTTAAGTCAACCAATGTCTCCAGTTCTGACGTGTTTAAGCAGTGAGAGTAATTTATATTACAAAACTTGGCTGTTGACCTAATCAACTTCATTTAATACATGATTTGATCTGAGAAATAAAGGTGGCTTTTAATCACATGCATACCTCCTTGTTTGTGATATCCCTACGGGAGAAGTTCAGCATCCAGCACCATCTAGAGTACAATCAAAAATAGGATTTAGATATTAGGGAAGCATTACTGAAGGCAAGATATATTGTTTTCTATGCTTTATGATATTATGTCAGCTTGCATACCATTATTCTTTGCCACTACGAGATCTGCATTCTAGCACAATTTCTAAGTATGTTTTCCAAAAATATTCTGAAAAAAGCCAAAATTGGTTTCTTTCTGAGGTTTACTTGTCCCAAACACTGCAGCAATTAGTGAAAGTGAAATCCTTCTCCTTAACTCCCTCCCACTCTTAACTCTTCAGCTGAGCTTGAATTGTCCCCTTAGAATTCTCCTTTCTTCACAAATAATGAAAGAATAGACAACAAAAAGAATTTAGCTATCTCTTTATCAGGGTCCTTCCTGTGTGGCTTACTGGAACTGTATCAAAAGGAAAGTTTCTATCAAAGAAGAAGATTATTTGCTTTGTGACAACAGAAGTTACATAAGAAGGAAAACAAATACAGGTAAATATCAATTTTAGTATGACTGCCTAGAAGAAACTTACTAGAGTGAAAGTTTTTAGACTATAGGCTTCTTAATATCTTTTGATTTCTTGGAAGTTTTGTAATTCATTTAATTTATTTCAAATACCATAAAATAAATATGCAAACTATTCTATCCTGTTACATTTTTGATAAGGAATATAATGGATCATAGAAAAGGAAGCACTGAGCTCATTATTTTTCCCTCTCCAATAATGCACTTATTTACTTTTACAAATCTGAAAGTAAAAAACAGAGGTAAAATGGTACATAATATACAGATAACTATTAAAAACCCTACTAATAATGGAATATTCCTTTAGTTCATGGCTGACATTCTTATTCATCCTAGGTAAATTAATTTCTTTTCCAGTGGCGTGCCTCTCTGTTGTTTTGTATGATCTTTGGGAGACAGGGAGCCCCTGATGATAAAGGAAATAGAATATCTGTGCAGTTCTAGAAGAAGCAACAGTGATAGTATTTCCCATTCTACAGTGGAACTTAACAAGTTGTGAGGGCATTTATTCATCTGAGGAGAGAGGGTCTTCTACAGTAGTTTTATATTGTAAAGAAAACAGGATCCGTGCTCCCCAGGGTGACTAAGACATGGCATTGCAATAACTTTTGATGGACAGACAGAAAGGCAGTGGGTATTTTTGATCTGCATGGGAACAGGTACATGAAACCTACCTAAAGAAAGAGCTAAAAATAGGCCAGTACAGTAGGGTGGATTCAAACACTGGTTAAGACAATAGGAAATGCTGACACATTCTGTGTCTTTGAACTAGGCTTTAAATGTTCACTAAAAGTTTATGCAAAAAAAAATTGTCCGTGACTTTTTACTGTGTATTTCTAAAATGCATCATTAACATTAGCATAATTTTTCCTCTACAAATTGTTCCCACTTCTAACTAGCAAGTACTACTTTGACTCCCCCACAAGGAGAGCTCTAAATAGTTGTGCAGTCTTCACTCATTTGTCAAAACCGCTTTAACAGGTTACAAGATGTCCAAAATGAGCGATAAAAGAAAATGATAAAAAAAATCTACTGCCACTGCCTTTTCATATTTCAGTCCAGTGCTTTCCTCGCAACAGAGGAGTTGCACTGGTTCTGGAAGCAATAAATTCAATATCCCTGATCTTCCCAGTCACTTTTAAAGAGGCTCTGCAGACCATGCTGCTTCCCTTCCCTTTCCCACAGGAGAGTAAAATTAGGGGACATAATTCTTCCCATTGGTTTTGGACTTGATTTTTGTTGCATGATCTATCTTTAGACTTACCTTAATCCCTATTTTTTAAGTGTAAAGGGGAGAGAAAATCTGATGGCAGCTGCTAAAGCTGAGATTATTAATTAGTTCAGGGAGTGTGCTATTGCTTGAGATAATAATTACTGCTATGATTGAACAAAATGCAGGAGGAGAAAGAGAGC